CTTCAAATGAAACGTCAAAAAGAAATAAAGTAGTATTTAACAATATTTAAATAAATACAAAAATTAACTATGTATAAAATACGGCAGAGTGAGTATTTGCTACTTGTTTGATATACAAACTTAATCAAGACATGTTTTTATTCTGAAAGGGGTAAACTGGACGTGTCACAAAGCAGACAGAGCTGCTCTGGTTTGGACGATTTGCCACAGATGAGCCCACCTTCAAACCAGACCTACAGAAAACTAATAACAGGTTTGTGTCGGTCCCACCAAAACTGGAGGGAGATGAAGACGTGTGACCAAGAGTCATCTTAGCGGTTAGCGTTAGCTTCCATTAATTTTGTAATATAGCGTTAGCAGAGCTAAGATTCTGGTTTAGTGAATTAGTGGTGAACCTAACTTTAAGTTGGAAAGCTAAAACTTCGTCAAATATTACAACTCGATTAAGGTCCCTTTGAACGAGTTGTTGTGTTCAAACCTTTATGTCAAATGTGTCTTAGCTAGGTGTCCCTCAAAACAGAGTTGCAACAACACATTTAGTGATAAAAGGAGCCGCTGGTGTTTTACCACCGATCCGTAGCTGACGATGAGAGTCCTCAGAGCCCAGGGGAAGCCCAGGCCCAGCAGCACGTCGAAGATGTTACTGCCAATGGAGTTGGACACGGCCATGTCGCCCATTCCTGCAACGTTTACCATCCACAGTGAGAGGAGTCAAAACCTGGTTTCAGCATTTATTCACATAGATTTATTCACTTATATTTATTCACGTAGATTTATTCACACACCTTGTCGGGCGACGATGAGACTGGCCATGCAGTCGGGAACGCTGGTGCCGGCTGCAAGGAAAGTGATGCCCATGATGACGTCTGGGATCCCGAGCGTGTAGCTGATGATGGTCACCTGAGAGGAGGAGAGGACGGCGGAACGTGAGCGATTTTAAACGCGTGCGTTCGTGAGCGCGGCTGCATCGAGTCTCGTACCATCCAGACCATGAGGTAGGAGAAGAGGGCGATCCAGAGCGTGGAGGCCAGGAAGGTGAGCAGGTACCAGCGCTCCCACCGCGGCTGGCTACAGTCGGGGATGGTGAAGTGGAGCAGGAAGCTCACGGGCCAGGACAGGAGCCACTTCAGTCGCATGCCTGGGCCATCTGAGGGGACGACAAGGACACACGCGAGTGTACGTACACAACGGTTCCCCCTGCCTTACAGACACATCTTAGCTTTTAAATTATTCCCACGGCTCAGCCTGAATGTGCATGTGGGCGTGTGTCCACTCTGTTAAACTAACCTCATCAGCCATTAACACCATCTTTTAAAGATTTGAAACATCAACTGGTTATTACAGAAACACCAATGAGATTTTACAGGAAGGTTTTCGTTTCCAAGTAGGGCTGTAAAATTAATCGAGTTAACTCTGATTAATTTTAGTGCTGCATGGGCATAGATTAAAAATTTTAATCGCAATTAAAATTTACAATCACTTTACTCTGGCTGAATATGTAAGTTTGTGTATTGCAATGCACTCAGTGCATGCCAGGTCATGTTTGTAAATGAGAAGTGGTTCTCAAACAGTTTACCTGGATAAAGGTTAAATAAATAAACAAAAACTCCATAACACATTATGTACAGTTTTTTTTCTTTTTGTGTTCTTATGACATTTTATTTTATTTATTTATGTTTTGCTGACAACTGTGACCTTAGTATCTATCTTTCATTCCTCATGTTCTCATTTGGCATGAAAATCCTTGAATTCTTGATTTAACTTCATTACTCTGCACAAAATTTCACTGACTCAAATATGTTTGGAGCATTTTTTAGGTCCTGTTTTATATTCAAAAAAATCATTTCTAAACATCAATTTTGTTTTCTAAATAAAAACATTAAAAACTAATTAATAACTCAAATAATTTATTTTATAGAAATATATATTAAATTTAAGATTAATCATGATTAATTCACAGCTACTTTGGGATTAATCAGATTAAAAATATTAATCATTTGACAGCCCTATTTCCAAGTTGCCATTTTTGTTTAGATAGTTCCAAACTGAGTTACATCTGTTCTTTAACATAATAATGTCATTTAAAAGTTTAAACTTTCCACCTCTTTGTGAGCTTCTTATTCACTCACCTGGCAGGATAAAAGGTCTGAAGGCGTTCTCCTCCTCTTCTCCTTTCTCCTGCTCTTCCTCCTCCTCCTCTTCTTGCTGTGAACTCCCCCCCGTCTCCCCCGCTGACTCTTTACCCGTGTCCTTCTCTCCCTCCTGCAGATGCCTGTCCCCCTCGGCCATCGTCCCGTTCTCTCTCCTCCAAGTTCCACTTGGGGATAAAACCTCCTCCCCCGCAGCCGTCGCCTCCTCTGGGCTCACCCGAGCCCGGATCAGCCTCTGCCTCTGTGTGGGAGTGGAGGGGTGGGGGGATAAGGGAGGAAAAGATGATGCGAGGAACGAAATGATGAGTGAAGCTAAGAGTGTGAGAAGAGGCAGATGGAGTGATTAGGCAGCCAGACAGGTCCTCACGTTCACCAGAGGGGGGGTTAGAAAGGAGCAGGAAGAGAGCGGGCAGGTGCAGTTTTATTTGGAAAAAAAAAAAAAAAACACGAAAGAGGAAACAGAAAACTAAGTGCCAAGCTCTTAAACGGCATTTGATTGTGTGAATGTTGAATCAGCCTCACGCTGTTGTTTTTCTAATTTTCTCTCTGTTTTTTGCAACCTAACTACTTCTGTATACTTTGTGCTATTTTAGCTCCTCATACAGTTTGTCAAAATGTTCAGCTCATTTGGGAAATAGCTGCAAGGAATTATGTTTTTGTAACTTTTTATACTTTTCAAAAAATGTAACTTTATTTACCAAAATTTTCCCTATAGAAATACACGGAGATCTCTCCAATTCTTCCAAAGTTATGGTTTACATTATAAACTTTTTGTCTTCCTGTGATACTTTAGTCCTTAGCTACCATTCTGCTACTATTAGCTTTGAGCTATTGGTGTTTTTGGTTTTTATACTTTCTCTGTAAGACTTGTTCTACCTTTAGTTTTTAGCTGAAGTTTTACTACGTTTAGCTTTCAATTGGTCTTCTGTCATTTTTAGCTTTTAACTAGCTATTTGAAACTTAGCTTTTAGCTAATTCTTTGATAATGTAGCTTTTAACTTGCACTGTGATATATTTAGCTAACATTTTGATGCTTTTAGCGACCACTTTACAGCTTTTAGCTTATATCTACTGCTCTGATTCCTTAGCTTTCAGCCAGTTTTCTGCTTCTTTTAGTTTTAATAATTCAGCTTCTTTCAGAAATCACTCAGTCATCTCATTAAACGCAGAACTTTTAGCTGGGAATAAAATGAACTGATTTAATTAAAATCAGTAAGATTACTTTAATGACCACTCTATCATAAACCATAATTTGTGTAACACATCCACATTTAGATATCTGTTACATGAGGAATGTGAGCACATGCAGAGTATACCTCCCTGATGACTTTACGTCCTGCCGTGCACAGGTGGGTGTAATGGGGGTGAAATGTGGGGTGATGAGAAAGCGGCGGCTTGCCTCTGAGAAGGAGAGCTGCTGGGGGTGAAGGTTCAGTAGCTCGTCCACCATCACCACTGCTGAGTCCTGACCGGCCACCACACATGAGTCTGAGAGCAGACAGAAGAAACGTGAGCAGGAGATGAGAAAAGAAGCGTTTTTAAAACTGAAAGAAAACCAGAAAAAAATGAGGGAAAGTGAAAATGGTTTTGTTCTATTTAAGTGTTTTTTTAATCCACAGGGAAAGAGACAGGGTTTGACTGACAGCTTCAACTGTGTCAGCAGGTCTGCTCCCACAGAGAGACGAGCTCCTGCACCTGGCTTCAGCGGCACCGTGTCGTTTTCACAGTCCCCGGCGTTTCCTACGGCGGTGGTCCGTCTGAAACTGCTCAGGCACGGCTGACCCTCCACGCTGCAGTGTCTCTCCATCAGGCAACACAGAGGTCTGTTGAACCTGCGCAAAAAAAAAAAAAAAAAAAAAACCCACAGAGTCATGCTTATTCAGTTAATATTACACAGAAATTAGATCTGTGCCAAACAGAGATGTGAGAGGACAGAACTCACTTCATGATGATTATATAAATCCCATACATGGAGATCAGGATGATGGTTTCCCACCTAAAACAGTCAACATTCATCTCAACGTCAGTTATCTAATCTGGTGTAAAAACAAAAGCAGCACCTGAAATTACAATCAGTCTCACCACAACACCTTTTCATCATAGATCACCTATAAAAAAAAAGCCACAACAGGATGTTAATTTAAACTCAGAAACAAACTTTTTGTATTCAGCAGTAAAGAGCAAACAGTTTGTAGTCCTATCAGATGAAATGTATAACCCTCCTGCTGTCCTTGGGTCAAAACGATCCACAAGGACTCAGTTAAAAAGCTGAGGCCCTGTAGGTCTAACCAGTGAGAAGAGCCGAATGAGAAACCTGCTGTTCTCACCAGAATAAGCACCACTATGGAGATGATGTAGAAAACAGCATCACGGAACAAAGGCCACCAGCTGAGGGAGATGGGCTGCAGACACAAAGATATAAAACATAAAAAAATACTGGAATGTGTGGTCCAGAAAGATGGATATAATCTAATTAAAATCTGCATTAGAAATTAACAAGTTCAGTATTTAGAAAAATGCTCAAACTAATTCTGTAGTTTTAAAGTCCTAGATAAAACAATAAAACCAAACATAATTCATGATGTAGTAACTCTTTAATCTTGTCACTGAAAGAACTGTGCAGCTAACCATGTCTTAAAGTGTTTTTGTTCTTGTTTTGAGACTGATCTACTAAGCAAGAGCAGAATGTTTATTATTAGTCTTGTCTGGAAGTTTTCCTTATTTCAAGAAGTCTTACTGAACTGGCAGATTGTTTCATTTAATTAGAGAAAATCCCAACTAGTGCTTTAAAACTCATTTTTGGCTTTTTTTTTTTTACAGCGTAACAAAGTCGCATGAATGCTTTCAACAACCAATATTAATTCTAGAATTATATGAAAAACAAGCAGCAGCTTAGTTAAACATGAAAACATCACAGTGTGCATCACAGTTAATAAAGCTTATTTATGAGCAAGATATTAGGGGCGCACCAAAAAAAATCAGAATTGTGATTCTCATTTACAAAGATTCAGAATCGATTTCAAATGTCCTAAAATCGATTTTAAAAAAAAATCAAGCAAATCCAATGGCTGCCTCCATTCTGTAACTATGTGGGCCGTCCTGATGTCACCTTGCAGCTGCTTCTGGAAGGTATGCACGCACAGAAAGCGCCAAAACAAAGAGGAAACTACAAAACTGGAGGAAAGAGAGATTCAACTGACCCCATCTTCATTGAACGCAAAGATTTGGACTCATTTTGGTTTTTACTGAATAAGTTTGAGTTTGACATGAGCTTCACTGTGTGCAAGGTTTGCAAAATGAAGATGAAGCACTTTAGGAACACAACAAATGGGCTCACATTATCAGATTTTAATTTAAAAAATTGATTTTGAATCGAATCGTGAGATAGTAAAAGATTCCCACCCCTAAAAGATATGCACCGTTTCTCCTGTAACAAATCATGCATGTAAACACAGCTTTGACCAAAATCGGCCTCTTTTTCAGACCCATTATTGCTTCATCTCTTTTCTGATGATCTGAAAGTTGCTAAATCACTAAAACAAACCTGTCCAGAGAAGATGCCGCAGAGGCCAATAATGACAAGGATGTTAAAGACGGCTGATCCAACAATGGTTCCCACACCAACGTCTCCCTTTGTGATGAACACCCCTGAAACCACAGCATGAAAAGCTGTAAATCACCAGTAAAGATAAAGTCAGCAGCATTGTGACACTGAACAAAAAAAAAACATTGGCCAAGTGTTCTCCCTCTTCATATTAAAGGTTTGACTAAAGCTGTTTTATCTTCACTTTATAACTCCAGTTACACGACTGGATGTATAATATTTATTGCCTGAAAACACTCGAAGTTTTTCCTTCATCTGATGTGAATAAATCAGTTTGTGTCAGCGGCATTTATAAAAAAAGATTTTTCAGCGTCACAAGATTAGAAGCAACATTTTGGCTCTAAAAATAAATAAATAAATCACAGGAGGATGCTGCTTTGTAGGACTTTTTTTTTAAACTGTGTGCTGTATCAGCAAACGGAACAGGAACAAATCTTCAAGGAAAAAAGGAAAATATTTGATTATAGCTGGGTTGCAATTTTTTTATTCATCCAGGCAACAGTTTTAGAATCCTGCGGACTGCTTCCTGTAAACATGCTTTTATTTGATCAATCTGCAACTACAGCTGTGGGCCTCAGTTATAAGAGTAAACAATAAAATCAGGTAACCTGATGGAGGATAATAAAATCCACTCTCCCTGACATCTATAATCCTGTTTAATGAACACATTCTAACATGTCCCAGTTCTAACCCGTGACTGACTGGACGGACGTCTTACTGACCAATCAGTGATGTGAAGAGTTCGGGGGCGGAGCTTCCAGCTGCCATGAAGGTTGCCCCAGCGACATCCTGACTGAGATGAAGGTTCTGGTGGACAGAGGTGAAGAGTTTATCTGCTTTCTTTATTCTCAACAAAACATTTATCCGCCTGTTTTCAGAGTCTAATAGTTCCTACCTCTGACACTTTCTCCAGTGACGGCACAAAGTAAACATCACACACTATGGCCAGCGCGTGAAACATGTAGATCGCCTGTTAAAATGCAGGAAACACCATTTATAACACGCTTTGTGGGTTTCGGCACAACAAGCTGAACTTTATTTGACACTCACGCAGAGAACGTGAAGCAGCACGGCTCCCTGTCTCCTCTGATCCAGAGTGAAGATGTCCTCTGGAAACTCGTTTATGGCTGAGGAGGAAACAGTGGAAATTTTTAACCACATCTGAAATCAAACAACTAACTCAAAAAACTCAAGTATTCTGAAAGCAAATCAGTTTGGTCGTGCAAAACGCTCTAGATCAGGGCTATTCAACTAAATTCCTCCAGGGGCCACAGTTACTGCAGGCCAACGGCTCAGAGGCCTAACATCCAGCAATTAAAGTCATTATGTAAAAAAACCAAGTGTTACAAAGATCTGTTACCTTTGAATTAGTTTATTTTACTGCATTTAATCATGAATACAACATACAGAACCCTATATAATAATAAGTGATAAAACAACTAAAACAAAAAGACCACATTCTGCTTCTTATTTACCACAAATATTATTTTAACATCTCTGACTTGCCAAATTTTTAAACCAATTTTATTTTTGCTTTCATAGTTTTATCTTCAACTGCTTGTAATTTTAACTTTCTTGGATGTTCATAGAAATGTTTTTTACCAGCTTCTAGCCAAGATTCTGACGTTTCTGTAGATACCAAACATGTGTATGTTTAACTAAAAGAACTTATAGTAATAAAGTAAAAAAACGGGGGTTTGGGCTTAAGAGATGAATGAACCAATTGGCAGGCCGAATGGCCCGCGGGCCGCCAGTTGAATAGCCCTGCTGTAGGTGTTAAAACGCCTGTGTTGAAACTCAAAGAAAGGCAAACTCTGACATCTGAATGGTGGAACTTAAGAACCATCTTGTGAGTTTAGAGCTCTAAAGGTGAAATTTCTGTTGTGAAAAACAGGTCAGAAACTGGGCTAACACAGTAAGGAGGCACATAATCCTGCTTTAACACGACATATAAGCCTTTTAACGGGAAAACATCTTCTAATATCTTAACTTTTGTTGCCTCATCACATTATGAGTGAAAAAAACTTAAAACCTGTGTAATCTGCTTAAACATACAAGGAATTAAGATGTAACAGAACTGGAATCATTTTGTAAATAAGAAAGTAAAATGAGGTTTTCTGGGGACTATTTTCTGGATTAATCCTGTTTAAAGTCAGCTGCACGTAAATAATCTGATCAGAAGTAACTCCTCTGACATCAGTTTAATCTGAGAGTTCAGGATCATCACAAACACAAATTACACTGGGATTATGTTTGTAATGAGCTTTTGTTATATATTATTGGCAAAAACAATCAGTTTAATCATTTCTTAACCAGGAAGTCTCTCGTCTCCACTTGTATGCGTAACCATAGCAACAAGCGCCCAGGCTACTTTAAGGTTAAATCTGTCAGTATTTGTGTTTTTGGATGACTTTTTGATCATTTTTTGTGTTTTATTGTTCATGTTTTTATTCCTTTTTGGTGTTTATTTGTCTCAGTTCAGAACCTGCTCCTCAGTCCAGCCACACCCAGATATTTAAAATGAGTCAGTTAATTTAATCCTCTCTAAAGCCGCTCGGTTAAACAATGAATTAGAATTGTTTATCTTGTGCCGAGATGTACCTTCTTGCAGCAACGCCACAATTCACTGGTGAAAAATACTTTCGGAAACAGCAAAAGGAAAATCTGGAAAGTAAATTTGCCACTCTCTTCAAGGTTTTCTGATTTATTTGTGAGATGGGATTTATAAAACCCCACAGAACATGATGGCTCAAATATCTATTTTGATTAAAAAAAGAGATCAAAGAAATAATCTTGAAGTTCAGTCAGTAATCAAATTGGCAAGATTAGGATTTAAGAGTTGAACAAACAACATAAATATAATTGTTCAACGATTAAATTGTACTTAGGACAATGAGATGGAAAACCATTGAGAAAACTGTAAATTCTTAATGCAGAAGGTTCCTTAGGTTTTTTTGAATAAGCTCAATTACTTTTTTGTTTACAGTGTACAAGTATCTTATCATGAAATTACTTTGGTAAAAGTTAAAGTCTCCTCCAAGAACATTACTTGAGTAAAAGTCTTAAAGTATCTCTTTTTTTAACTTAAGTATCAAAAGTAAATTTCAGACATAAAATGTATTTAAGTATTAAAAGTAAAAGTATTGGGTAAAAACGAGCAGTTAGGTTTTCCAAAATGACATTTTTTGGGAGGTGACCTCTCCAAAAAACATTTTTTTCTAAATGCGTGCAGCTGGGAGAGATTGTGTACAATTTGGTGTCAGAACGGTATATATTTATACTTCTCATCCAACTACAGTTAAATTCAGTTTCAAGAAGGCACAATTTGTCAGGATAGTATTTTTTAACAATAATGAACGAAAATGAAAAACGACTTTCTACTTCTTACTTTGTTTAAAAATATAAGAAGTAAAAAAACAATTGTATAGGTCTTCTGGACGGGTTCTTCTCTAATGAAACGTTTCGTCTCTCCTCCAAGAGACTTCTTCAGTCATGTCCCATGACATTAAGTATTCTTCATGTCCATTCTTGTGGACATGTCCATTGTCCTTCTTGTCCATTCTTCATGTCCCAGTGACTTTCAAACCCCAAAACACATTACGGCAAAGGCTGGTTCACCCCAAAGATCCGGTGCCCCGGCACAAACAGAGCAATATTGTATATGCTGTTAAGTGCCAGGAGGACTGCGACCAGTTATACATCGGGGAAACAAAGCAGCCACTGTTCAAAAGAATGTCCCAACACAGACGAGCTACATCTAATGGCCAGAACTCTGCAGTTTTCACTCATTTACAGGCCAGCGGTCACTCTTTCAGAGATGAGGATGTTCTCATTCTTGATAGAGAGGAACGTTGGTTTGAGAGAGGAGTAAAAGAAGCCATTTTTGTGAAGAACGACCGTCCATCATTAAACAGAGGTGGAGGCCTCCGTTTTCAGTTGTCCCCCTCCTACAGCGCGGCTATTGCCAGTATCACTCCACCCCTGTTAACAATAGGTGTTAATTAGGTGTCAACAATAGCCATGTGATGTGAGTATCAGTCACATGGAGGCAGGGCTTAAAAGCCTGAATTTTGCCTGAAACTCTCAGACTGAAGAAGTCTCTTGGAGGAGAGACGAAACGTTTCATTAGAGAAGAACCCGTCCAGAAGACCTATACAATTTTTTTTTTGATTTTTTACCTGGATTACTGAGATGCATCAGGACATAAAGAAGTAAAAGTACAGATAATCGGGTGAAAATGTAAGGAGTAGAAGTAAAACGTAGGCTGAAAATTAATTACTCAAGTAAAGTACAGATAACCAAAATTTATACTTAAGTACAATAACAAAGTATTTGTACTTAGTTATTTTACAACTCTGGAAAGGAGGCAAGAGATGTTTAAAAATATACAAATAATTTGTTCTTATAACAGATTAAATGGTAAATGGACTGTGTATAGCATCCATCCAACCAGGACACTCAAAGTGCTTCACAACACAATCTGAGCCCTCATTTAACCATTCACACAGCACTTTATTAGGTCTCTATGTACAAATCATCTATGGAGATTAATCAGTGCTAATCCCATTCATACACTGATGAGACACACATCAGAGGCAACAACTGAGACAGCTAGAACAGGGGATAGAACCGGCAACCTACTGGTTCAGGGCTACTCCGCTAACTACTCGTCCACAGCCGCCCCTCAGAGCAGTGATGATATAATTCACCTGATTTTGAGTCACTTGTTGTAATTTAAGAGAAACATCTCACCAAAAACAAACAAAATAAACAGTCTTTTTAGGAGGTAGTCTCAGCAGGACAACAACAATCATTCTGCACAAAATACAGCAAAGTAGTTGCTCCTGTAAAAAAACGTCTGACTCATCGTGTTAAAGAGAAATCTTCAGTCAGCAGAGAACAAACACGGTTTCATCTCACAAAGTCGAGGGAAATTAGTTTTCTCAGTCTGAATAAATCCATCTCAGTCCATTTTCTTAGAACTGGCAGAGTATAATCTACTGTTTACATTTCATTCATTCAAACATCTAAGAACACCTGATAAGATATGAGGAACATTGATGAGCTTGTTAATCAGCAGATCGTTGCGGCGGGGTAGGCACTTTGAACCACAATGGATGCACGCACGCAGCATCCAACCACAAAATCAGCATCCTGTTTCCTAGCGACCAAGCCCCTCAAAGGCCTGACTGTGTTTAAACATCATGAGCAGAGTCTGAGGAACCAGAGAGGTTCATCAATGCTCAGACGGAAACAGGACTCGGATAAAAAAGAATAATTAATAAAGGTAGATGAGGGCGAAGCTTTTCAGCATCGTCTGACAAACACAGACCCTTTAGGGAATAAATATTCAGTTTCACACACAAATGTGGTTTAATAAAGATGCAAAATAAAATGCAGGGAAATCTCACCAGATCTGGAGCTAGTCTGATTATCTTCTTTTTGCAGGATCTGTCTCTTGGATAAGAGCATGCCATCACCCACTGTTTGGCCATGAGAGCCTGAGAGAAGGCAGATAATTACTAAAACAAATAATGACATTTATGCACGATTTATAGTAAAATTACAATGGATTTTAAAGAACTTTTGCATTGTTCTGTTTAAAAACTCATTAGGGTTGCAGCCTATTACATAAATGTTTGTTTGCACCTGTAGGCTCGCTGAAGGGACAGATCCAGGCAGCTGTGAGAAGACCCAGTCCACCGATGAAGAGCCGGGGAAGGAGCAGCGTCCGCCCGGGTCTCCCTGGAGCCTTCATCCCGCCAGCCGCGGCCGCTTGTCGGCTCTGGGATCAGAACATGCCGCCGCCACGACCACTCTTCCCTTTCCGCTCTCCGGGCTCTTTTTTTTCTTCTTCTTAATTTTCAAACCGGATCTAGCTGGCCCTTCGCTTTCTCCCTGATTTATCGTCTCTGGCTCGGAGCTCCCATCCGAAGTGAAAGCACCGCGGCCCCACCGGCGTCAGCGCGTCGGCATCCCGCTCCGGTGGAGCTCCAGCGGCCGCGTCGATGAGCTTCACCTCCGGGCAGCGAAGACTCAGCAATCGGCGCCTATTTTGTTAACAGACATCCGCTCAGACGGTCTCAGCATCCCTCCTGTCCTGAACCGGATCCCGGTTAGGATGTTTTCCGACCAGGAGGGGCTGTTTTCCTTCAGCTGGGTGGGTCGGACTACAGATTCATCAAGTCAGATTTATGAATTAAAACTAAATATAGTCC